ATAATAACTATTACACGACGACTGAGATATCACTCAATATAAATCCGGCGACAATTATATCAACCGATTGTCTCAATCAATCAATTTTTAATGAATTTAATGAAACCAATTATTTCAACAAATCATCCTTACCACAATGGTATGTCATTTAGAAATTAATACCATCATATATTACAATATAATTTAGCCCACTATTACAAATTATAAATAATCTACTCATTCCTACCATGTATTGCATTTAAATACAGTACAATATTTACTCTTTTTTAGTTGTGTTTATTTTCAATCTTTTATAAAGAAAATGTTTACAAAAAATAAATTTCAAATTTTTGTTACAAAATAAGTAAACAATTCATTAAATTGTAAACATTATAACTGTTTATAATACGGGTATTACTCTTCAAATATTTTACATTTTTATTTGAAGTGTCAAAACAGTTTCACATTTACACAAAACAAATTCAAATACAATATATTTTTCTTTATTGACAACCATTTGTCAATGTTTTTCAGTTCACAAGTTATTTACAAAAAGAAACCCAAAGTATGTATTTCTTTAGCCCAATAAGTGGTTTAATTTTCAATTAAAAAACTATTAAAAACTTGTATTAAAGTCCAACAAATATTTGTAATATTTGTGCCAAACATTGTGTTTGAGATGACAGTAGTAGTGAGTAGTATAGACTAGACCCCCATATATGGGCGTGGCTTAATTGTAATTAATATTACAAGACTATTACTATAGATAAATAATGTCAACAAATAAAGTTTCGAATATATATTTATTGAATATTAAGGAATACAATAACATAATGAAAATAAGTAAATAATTATAAAAATGTTTGCAAAGTAGCGCGAATTTCTTGACGGCATATCGGACACGAATCAAGTTTAAGGCGTGTTACTTATGTACGCTGTAACACCGCTGTTCCGTTGTCATCTCTTGAATTAAGTAAAAGTTTTGTTTAAAACGTATTGTACCGTAGCAATTTACTTGGTTTCAGTGGCTTTTTAGAACCTGATGCGCTTATACCATACTTGCAGGCTTCATACAATTCGACGAATGAAGTGAAGGGGCGTCGGCATTGATCCCATCTTTCATTCATTACCGCTATAAGTTTACTTCTTGATTGACATTTCATATCAATAATTTGCTCGACAAATAGTCGAAGGTAGGTAAAAGCTTATAACTTAACAAATTTTGACTAAAGCGCACGTTATGCATATCTAAACGACTATTTGAGTCGCAGAAAAAGAACAAACTGTTTAAGTGTTCAACCTATTATGGGTGCATGTTCAACCCAAGGGTCGTCGTCTGCCTCAAAGCTCACAAGTCCTCCAAAACAACGAAAACAGTTTACGCGGTCGCCGGGTCCTGAATAAAATAACCCCGCTTCGGCAATTAATTTAATATTTATAGGAAATAAGTGTTCATGTGAATTGAATGATGCCACTCGGGCTTCATAAGTATGATAATTTTGACGATCAACGATCATATCAATTGGCAATTCATTTCCACATACAATGTTGTTTGGATTCTTAATAGGATCCAAACCTATCGGTACATTTCCCACATCCATTTCCATAAGAAATGGACAAAGTGGAAATTCAAGTGAATGCTTTTCTAAAGGACGATCGCCTTGCTTCCAATCACTGATAATTCCTCTGCAAAATGCACATTGAACTTTGTCATCTTTTAAGTGAAAAAAACCTGCATTTGCGAGACTTTGTGCCGATACATGCTCACAAGTCCATTCTGGTAAATATTGACTATTAAAAGTTTTCAGCCGTGTATATTCAAGTCTCATTAATTTAAAAAAATTTGTTACCCATTCGCACCGTTGATCAGATACTTTTAGAAAAGTGTCCAAAATGGTTTTGAGGTTTAGATCATTTGAAGTTTTGATTATATCCATGTTTACGTGTTCGGATCTATGCATGGACTGAGTCTAAATATATAATGCTTCTTCTATTTATATTGTGCGGATTACAGTGCCATCTATACATCTATGCATAAGTTTATACTTATGAAAAATATAGTTGTTGTATAAATTTTATTTTATTTCGACATATTGGACAATCGCTTAATTGTGTTGAACACTTAGTACAAATCATATGACCGCATGGTGTAAATGAGATGCCAAGCTCGTAAACCATACATACTTTACACGTCAGTTCTTCAATCTTTGCAATAGGCGGAGTTGTCTCATTTTCAGTAGCGTTCATGTTATTTTTGCTTCTATAATTAACAAGAAATTTGTTAAATTCTATCTGATCTTTAAATGGTTCTCCCTTTTCATTATATCTTAAAATCATAACATTTAACAATTCTGGATATGATGTAACACGCCGTTTTAATGCTCCCCAAGCAAGCCCTGATAACATCCATTCATGCAGTATATCATCTCGATTTGTTTGTAAAGATCTTTGGATCCCATATTTGTTTTCTCTAATCACTTGATCAATAAACTCTTCTCCTTTTATTACTATAACAAATTCACACCACGGAAACCAAAAGGCATGCTCTGTCCATACATCTTTAGTAATGTGCCGAGAAAAAGATCTTAGTGTACCTCTACAACTAAAACATTTTACACAATCATAATAACCAACCATATAGAAACCAGCTTCAGCAAGAGATTCAGATGTCCTACTACATTGTTTATTCCAATCTTTACTATAAGTACTCAATCTTTCATCATATGAAATATAATTTGGTTTAAGAGCCGGTTCAGCTGGTGTAACATTAGAATTACCCATTTCAACTAAATCACAAAAATTAAAAACATGAGCCTTATATATTTGATTAAGCGGAGAATAATAGTCGAAATAGGCGTGTTTAAATGATGCATGAATGACAGGGGGAGGGGCAAATAATGTAAAATAAAGTTAAATTTAAAAATACTTTTATTAAATGTAATTAAATAAATTTATTAAAATATAATTGAATACATTTGTTAAATATAAGATATAATTAAGGTTAAATATATAATTAAAAAAACGTTTTAAGGAATGTTTGGACGGGATAGCGGCACATTGGACATGTTTTAAGTTCTTTAGCACAGTATTGGCATGATATTTGATGGCAACAAGGAAATAATACAGTGTTCAAATTATTTTCAAAACAGATTTTGCACAACATTAAATTATTCGTCTCATCTGAACACTCTTTGATTGGTTCTAATTTACTTGAACCATATTTGGCAAAGCAGGCATCATATAACTGAGCAAACGATGTAAACGGTTTGCGATCTTGGCTCCATTTGTTATTCATCACATCTAAGATTTTAGTTTTAGAATGAATTTTTGAATCAAGCATATGGCGCACAAACGGTGCTCTCATCCAATTTCTTTAACATTATTCAAATTATAAACTAAGCGCTTGTTTTAACTGTCTTAGCAATTACTTCCAAACGGGAAAGAGAGCAGACTGTTATTGACAATGTGGGAAAACACCAGCATGTTGGACCCACGGGTCGTCACCATCATTAAACGAGTTGATTCCTCCATAGCAGTAAAACATTTTACGCGATCGCCAGGACCTAAATAATGAAAGCCGGCTTCAGCCAATTGTCTGATATTTACCCGAAATAATTCCTCGTGGGAATTAAATGATGCTAATCTGTCTTCATATGTCGTATAATTAGGATCGACAAATTCCCAATCCATTGGCGAACCACCAGATCCACAAACATCACGTCCATTCTTGATAGGATCCAAGTCTATCGGGATATTTCCGACATCCATTTCCATAATAAACGGACATAATGGGAAATAACATGCGTGCGCTTCTAGAGCTCTATCGCCCCTCTCTGCTCCGCTCAATTTACTAATTGTACCTCTGCAAAAAGCACATCTAACTTTGTTTTGTGGCCACCGAAAAAACCCCGCATTTGCTAAACTTTCGACAGAAACACCTCCAATATCTAATTCTATCTGACCCCAAAATTTAATGTCAAATGTTTTTAAACGAACAGATTCTGATTTCATTAAGACGAAAAAATCATTTATATATGAAGCGCTGTTGTTAATGTCTTTGGGATATTTTTCAAAAAACTCAATAATAGCCAACGAGTCGGGGTCCTCGTTGCTAGCCATGTTTATGCTTTTGACTCTGTGTATCGAATGAATAATAAAAATGATATTTGCGTTATTTATATGGTGACGACCACAACGCCACCTAGATATTTTCTTTGATAATTATTTCAAGTGTCAATACAGAACGATTGAATTCAAAGTATTTATAAAAGTTGGGTACTATAGTATTAAATATGATGCTTTTAAAATCAATCGCTTCGCGAATATCATTTGCATTGTAGTCACTTACTTTCTTTGAACTGTTGTGCGGTATGCTAAGTGTTTTATTAGGCATACACGTATAATAAATTAAAACAAAAAATGTATCATTATCAGTGAAACCATTTAATAACTTAACTATAATTGAATCAATTATATCGTAAAATTCAGTTTCTATATTTAAATCTGTTTTGTAATTTTGTAAAAATTGAATACTTATAACTTTTTTAATTAATTCAGAATAATGATCACATGTATAATCGATAACTTTGAAATATGTATTCATTGGATCACATGAAATATCAAAATCTGAATAACGTAATGTTTCCATCTTGAACATATAAGCATAACTGAATGATTGATAATAAACACCATTGTATTTATATTAATTTAAACTATTATAATAATTCTTAATCAGTGAATCATTAGATTTTGTATCAGACGTAAATAATGTTATGAATCTAGTATAACTCATCTTATTTTTTAATCTGCATATTATGAATGCAACACAATATTCGCCGCACGTAACACAATCAGTACATTGAAGTGCTATTTTATTATAAAAATGCCCGTTAATGCAATTATTGAATAAATAATGTTCAAATTCTTTATATAAAGGAGGCATACCATATGAATCAAAATACTCACCGATACCGTTGCTATCAATATAAATCGCAATCCAGTGTGACCCTGCCTGGTCACGTTTGTCTGTGTTTACAATAATTCCCAAAGGAACAGAATTAAAAGTAGGGATCTGGTCGCGGGAAAATACACCATAAAAATTTGGAATATTTTTCAATTTCTTAATTATTTCACTAGACCACATTATCGATAATCCATCAACGCGTTTCGATCTTCGCCGATTGATAATTGATCTCATCGCTTTTTAAACTACTCTTTGAATTAGTTTTGGACAAACTTTTGGTGATTTGAGGCAAAGGTTGCGAAGGAATCACTTGAATATCTTGAATGCCGAGGAAGTCTTTGACCACGTTTTCAATTTGCGGCCAAAATAGTGAATTGATTTTATAATTGACCACTTGTTCCACCAAATGCTCGATACCATACTTAAGCATTCCTGACCTATAGTTACCATTCATTAAGACAATCATTTCAAAAGTGAGACAACAAATCGTTTCATTACTCATTGATTTGTTTGCGAAGCCTTTCTCTCAATTGGTTTTTATTGATATTTGGGCTCCACTTCTGTTGGCTTAAGAACTTCGAGACATAGCCCTCCACTCTCTGCAACAGATTCTGAAACGATGGCTAAACACAGACAAAGACATCAATGGCAGCAATGGATAGATTGAGATGTCTTCACATACCTTCGTGTCGGCGTCCGAAAGGCATTCGCGTCGGAACTGATCGAAAATACCCCCACTTTTCACTCGCGACACAATCGACGCGATGACAGCCGAGTCGGCGCCCGAACTCACCGAACAGTGACCCGACTCTACACTCATTGCAAACACACTAACAGTCCATCAAATGATCACAACTTTCTATTCAATCAGACATTCAGTTATATTTACAACCAAATCGTCTATGTTTTTACCATTCATATAGAGGTGTGAGCGGTAACCATATTGTGTCCAATGGGTTAAACAATATGTTTGCGAACACCTCTACTCCGAAGCAGACATTTTTAAGCGTTACTGACGTTACGTTTGTTTGTGTTTTGAAACTGATTTTCATTACATTTTTGACCCAAATTTAAATTTAATGTGAATTTAGTTGACATTCACTGCCATTAAGTCTCCGATAGATTTGTTGCGCTTTTTATTCAATATTAATATAAATCTAATTTAACGGTAAGTTTGAACTCAAATACAAAACATGTTGTAATCAGACGACTGAAAGCTGATCCATGCGATCACTGATTGAATTACATGACAATTGTGTTACAGTTATCGTAAGCTAACCCCCGATGGCGCGGACCAAACAGAGGCAAACCGCTCGTAAGAGCACAGGAGGTATGTCTTATGCGGTTATTGAGTGCATGTTATGACATGTGTTGTGTTGGATGTGTTGTCAGGCTCTGCCTCATGGACTCAGGGAAGCAAATATACGACTCTTATGAAGAAGTTGGAGACGAAGACCGGAAAGGGCTCCGGAAAGGGACGGAAGAGTACGGGAGGGAAGAGTCAGTTTGTCAAGAAGAAGACATTCCGATACAGACCCGGAACCATAGGTTTGCATCCAATCACTACTGAGTTGTGAATAATTATGAAATGCTGTCTCAACGCAGCTCTCCGTGAAATCCGTCGATACCAACGGACGACCGAAATGTTGATTCCGCGGTTAGTATTGAATAATGACTTTCTGATCAACACATTAATGATTTGAATGATACTATCAATGAAATTAGGCTTCCGTTTCAACGATTGGTTCGTGAGATCGCGTCTGACTTTCGGGACGCACTTCTCTTCCAATCGGCGGCTTTGGGAGCCCTCCAGGAGGCGTCCGAAGCCTATCTCGTCGGGCTCTTTGAGGACACGAATCTGTGCGCCATTCACGCCAAGAGAGTGACAATTATGCCCAGAGATGTGCAATTGGCCCGAAGAATCAGAGGTGAACGCACTTAAAGACATCCATTTGTATCAGAAAGACATTCATTTAACAAATACGTGGACTAATTGTATTAAACTTTTTCTTTTATTTATATGACATATATTTCCATTATTTCGATATTTTGTTTGTAATTAAAAAAAACATTAAACCATTAAACATATGCTTATCCATAAAATGACAATATTTGTGAATATTATATAATTGCGGGGCTCTTAGTAATTGAGAATACATGAATCACTAAGAGCTCCATGGTCCATTAGCCTTTATATTATATAACAAATAAAAATTAATAATAATTTACATATTTGTGATTTATTTAACAATAATATATGAAAACAAAGTTATGTTGGAGTGGAGAGTGATATTGAAAGCAATGCCCAACCGATCAATAATAAGGTGTAACTAAGGCTAAGCTTTAACGCATTTGTGAGATAAATGGCCAAAGTTTGCGCAGTTTTGCCATTATATTCACTCGACTCTCGATTCTGTCTTTTAAGTGATAAAAGCAATGAATAGTCGGTCAGAAGTGTCGGTCATTTCAGTCAAATTATTTATAAATGGGATTTATGTCATAAATTTTTAATGATTTTATTGTAAAAATTGATTTATAATTAAAGATAAATTCAATAAAGAAATGATTTGTAATAATAGTTCAACAAATTCCGAAGGAATCGGTTCTAAACGAAAAGCATTGGAAATGATTACTAATATATTTTGGTAAGAATTTATAACATATTCTTATCAAATGAAACAACAATTTATAAGAATTTGTATTGAATTTAATGTTTTAGTAAAAAGTCGAAAGAATGTGAGAATACGAGTACAAAAAGTGATGTAATTGTCACCAATTGTGACCACTTGTGCTCTAATCGAAGTCTATGTCAGCCATCATTGGGAGGGGAATCGGACAACAATAAGATGCAATCGATTGATAATCTCCCAAATTCTCCCATTTCTCCCAGAGTTAAGAATATTCACTCAGATATGGAGGCATTGATGCTCTCTCGACACGACAACCCATATATTATGCATCAATTGGAGAGACTGTCGACCAAAGATGCGGCCGAACTGTACGCAGAAATGAGTGTCTCTGGCTATCCATCGCCCGCCCGATCCTTACATAAGAACTCATTCACTAATCTAGAGGTGAACACAACGGCCGACACCAACTCCATCATGGATTCCGATGTTAGCGATTCTTTTGTGGACAATCTTCACGACAAACTCATTCGTTCGCCTCCTCCGCAGTTCCCCAAGAATTTGTCACTTTTTGTATTTCCGGGCAGTTCTGCAGCAAGTGTTCAAAGTTATAGGACTGTAGATAATAGTGATTACTCGCCCTCACGGCTCCATTTGAGTCCCAATTCCAATGCATGCCATCAACTTAGAGACACTACTTCTGACCCCCGAAGCAAATCGTCGAATACATCTCACGATAATATATCAACGATTCTTAAGTCTTATTCGAAAGACAATCAGTTCTTAGAACCAAATCCTAACCACTATATCAAGTATGAGAGGCGCGGATCCGACAGCTCTATTATGTCCAACAACTGGAAGACATCTTTCTATAACCAATCGATGGCCGCATCGAGTTCTTCACTCCTCACATTTGCCCCGCGATGTCCTCCACTTGATTCCAATGATTCCAATATGAGTTACACTGAATGTCAAACCGACCACAAGTCCGATATGGGAATCGATTCGATGGATATCTGTCCCAATATGGAGGACAATAGCACTGATGGCTGGAATGTGATGATCAGTGCCAGCAATAGTCGCGAGGCTTTACTCAAAGACATATCTCAACTCAACTGATCTAACTTTTAAACATCAATTTTATCCATTAAATTATTCAGTATTAATGTTTTCGCTTTTATCTTATTATGAATTAATTAATGAAAATGTTATAATTGACTAATATATTAATTCTGTAATAATAAAGACAATTAATTATAAATTATAATAATAAATGTAAATATTTAAATATTCAATAAAACTATTACATAAAACAACGGCCGTAGTGTACAAGTGCTGCAACAGGAGTACCACAATGTCACGCTAATTGCTGCACCAATAATGGCATCAGTAAAGTTATTTGTTTTCTAACGTCAAAATCAATCAATGGCCAGAGATAGCCGAGTAATAACCAATTTTGTAATCACAGATAAAGTGTATAAACTATGCAGTACTGTAATCATATATGGTATATGAGTAGTATAATTCAAATTTAGTTATTAAAAAAATACATATTCTTTATTTATCAAAATATTCACAGAATATATAACAGAATTTTGAACATTTAAAAAATATTTCATAAATTTGGAATATTTAGAAACCCAAAACATTTGTTGTCATTATTTAAAGTTGTAAATATTCTAATTAGTTTAATAATTATATTTAGACCAAAGATTATTTAGGGATAAAAACAACCAAATTCGGGAACCGAGAGTAAAACAGTCAAATTTGGGAATATTCGTGAATTAATGTATATTTAGTTCAAATACAATAATTATAGATTTAAATCATTTAAAAATGAATCAGAGGTAGAATATCATAGAAATTAACATTTTATTCTTTAAGTCTGTCTTCTATAATATTTCTATTTATATTTGTAAAAATATTCTTAAATTGAGAGAAAAACGTTCACCATCATCAAACTCACTTTTTAATGCATATTTTGTTAAGCATCTTACGTTATCTCAAAATGTTGCGGATTTTTATCAATAACAAGTAAAGATAGTTCAAAATTAATAGGGTGTCATATTCCTATGGTGTCATTTTCTTGATAACTTTTAAACTAAAAGAGATAATTTAATTCTGTAAAAAGTATATACAAGTAAGTGTCATATACGCGAGACCTGCTGCATACCTTATTATGTCCTTATTATGCATATAAGTCACGTGGTATACCATGTATGTAAATCTATGGGATTTTAAGACAATGAATTATATTTTGTCCTAAACAGTGACCATATAAATATCGGTAGTCAACACGATTGGCGGTCTCTGTTCTGTGCGCTCGCATCGAATTCACGTTACAATTAATGTCACGATAACTGCTCTAAACTAATGTTTCATAACTAATAATGAATCCTAATTACTAAATAGTTAGTCAGATATATCTTTGATAAAAAAATGTTCACTTTCAAAATTAATCAATTATTTATTAAATATCGTGAGATCATTTTGTTAAAAATAATTCTGTCGCATATAGTTTAAAAATTACTTTATTAAAAGTGGTCATTCAATATGAATGAAACTCGGTTTTTGATGCCTAATCAGCCTATGTTAACTCAAATTATAAAATTAAATTCATAAAAATATCTTCACTGGATTTGCCTAAAGCTTTACTTGCTTTATCGTATAACTGTAAGACTAAGCTTTATCGATTACCCCAATATTGGCTCAACCGGATAATAACGGGACTGATTTAATAAAAAATAGAAAATTCATTTTTATTGTGATTAAAATAATTAATTCAAATGATAAAATTGCTATAATTATCTGCAACTATTGGCCATCATTCTGACAAATTTTCATTTAATTCCCGATAAAAATGGCTGCCCTGCGAGTCAAAGAAGTGAGTGGTGTCTGTTTTGACCGCTACTTTTGTTTAGCATTTTGCACCCCTAAAACATGACACGAGAGAATGATATTAACAGTCATCTTATAGTGGAATAACTGGAGTATATGGTGGGTGTGGAGAGAATTGCCACTCAATCTCTTTTAATTTTTTTCGGGTGATTTTTGAAAAATATGGGCTAAAAANAAATATGGGCTAAAAATATGCCAAAAATAGCCATATTTTGAGCATATGTTTAATTATCGGCTCCGGACACCGCGGTAATCGCTTTTAAGTGGTCAAATATTATTGGTTAGTGAAAGCACATAATGACTAATAATTTCATATATAGATGTCATAGATTTGACACATCCCGATAATTTGGAACATGATTTTTCACTTTCCGGGGTCGGCCCGTTCGGGTGCGATTTTAGTAAACATAACCAATGGGTATAAACTTATTATACAATTTATAATATTAATTGGTAAATAATACATCACCTAAAACTCATATATAATTTTTGTCAGCAAATTTACTAATCCTCATGAGTAAAAAACTAAAATAGTTTAATTTTTCAAATGTGTTCGGTATCATGTCTTCGGGTAAAATCAACACTTCTTGAAATAGATTTAAAATTTTTTTTACATAAATGTAAACACATTAAACACATGTATTGATGAGAGTTGGAACCGATGACCTAGCTCATAACAAAATTTTTTTAGACATGGTCAAACATAACGTTACAAAAAAGTCCCGTTATTAGTCGGTTAAGCTAATATATTGTGGAATATATTTCACCTAGGATCAAATTGTCTATTTATAGTATAAATAGATAATTTTATACCCAAATTTATATTATTAAACAACAATTTACTGCAACTTCAATTAATATACCAATAGTTTGCGTTTAAATTATTGTTGTGATAATTATTGTAACCGATTATCACATCATTGATTGTGATAAACAATTAAAATGAAACAATTACATAATTAGTAGTTTATTTAAAAATTATTTTTAAATATGTTGAATGTCCAATATTGAACATGGTCATTCGTATATTGCAATTAAATAACATTAAGTTATATGAATTATGTGTTAATACAGAGAAATATGAGTTCAGTTTAAAGACATCGACCGTACAGTGTGTGTAAACCACTTTTGATGATTTTACAGCTTTTACATTATTTTTATTTTATCCATGTTATAGAATATTTTTCTTAATTGTAATTCGTCGAATTTATAAGCAGATAATTCATGTTTAATTATCTAATACGGTATTAACTAAATACTAATAACAATAATAATAAGCCTTTAAATGTTTTATGAAGAGAAACACAACAAAATAAAAACAAGAAATTATAGCCAAAAGTGAGTATCTTTATATTTTTATAAGTGTTGGTAATTTTTTACACCATTTATCCAATGAATAAAATACTTTTATTAGACTTTTAATTATATACTTATACTGTATATCAAAAATTCCCTAACGTTTAGCGCAGGTATGTTTGTTATCCAATGTTATGCATTACATGACAGACACAATAAGGTAACTCAGCTTTAATTGAAGCAAGCTGGTTTTTGTTATAGCAAACTTACATCATCAGGGGTTTAATGAACAGGTAATTATTGTTTGGGGGCTTTATTTGCCATTAAAACAACCGTGATTCTAATGATGATTGTTTGGCATGTGTTTTCGTCGATAGAGTATAACATTTGTATAGTATTTTTCTGTTTACACTTTGGTTTCAAAATCAAATGATAAGTGATTTTTTGGGTGTAAAATATCGAGAGAGAGAGAGAGAGAGAGAGTGATGTAATAAGTATCTAACCCTTAAACATCAAACCCTATTATACAAGTGTATATTGTATACTGAAATTGAATTGAATGGCAAACAAAAAATACATTTACTTAACATTACTTCACTATAACGAGTGCTACCATTTGGGAAGTAATGTATTATTAAAATATTATTTTTATGTTATTTTTTCGTTGTTATAAACACTATTTCACTCGTGATTTACTATTTGTTTTCAATGGGTATCTGTTTTTGCGGTTCATTTTTACCCCGAAATATATATCTAAACAATACATTATTATTTCAATCAGACGTGTGTTTGTATAGCGAAATATACGGCACTTATTATATAAATACAGTCAATCTATTCATTCATATAATCGCCTTTAAAACCATAACAATCAGTAGCGGTTGTGATGTGCAGTATATGTGTGTTATTATTATCATCGTTGTTATAGCACACTAAATGTACATAACCTTCCAGTCCTTACCATATGTATTGACTACCAGTTTTGGAGAGAGAGAGAGAGAGAGAGACTACTTATAGTGTACTTTACTATAAAAGGTGTGATTATTATAATGTGAAATGGATGTCTTTAAGTGCGTTCACCTCTGATTCTTCGGGCCAATTGCACATCTCTGGGCATAATTGTCACTCTCTTGGCGTGAATGGCGCACAGATTCGTGTCCTCAAAGAGCCCGACGAGATAGGATTCGGCCGCCTCTTGGAGGGCACCCAACGCCGCCGACTGAAAGAGAAGTGCGTCCCGAAAGTCAGACGCGATCTCACGAACCAATCGTTGAAACGGAAGCCTAATTTCATTCATAGTATCATTCAAACCATTAATGTGTTAATCATATGTTTGTCATAAAGTCATTGTCCAATACTAACCGCGGAATCAACATTTCGGTCGTCCGTTGGTATCGACGGATTTCACGAAGAGCTGCATTGAGACAGCATTTCATGTTTATTCACAACTCAGTTAGTGATTGTATGCAAACCTATGGTTCCGGGTCTGTATCGGAATGTCTTCTTCTTGACGAACTGACTCTTCCCTCCCGTACTTTTGCGTCCCTTTCCGGAGCCCTTTCCCGTCTTAGTCTCCAACTTCTTCATAAGATTCGTCAACTTTCCCTGAGCCCACGAGGCTGAACCTGACAACACATCCACACATGTCATAACATCCACTCAATCACCGCATAACACATACCTCCTGTGCTCTTACGAGCGGTCTGTCTCTGTTTGGTCCGCGCCATCGGGGGTTAGCTTAAGATAACTGTAACACAATTGTCATGTAATTCAATCAGTGATCGCGCGGATCAGCTTTCAGTCGTCTGATTACAACATGTTTTGTATTTGAGTTCAAACTTACCGTTAAATTAGATTTATATTAATATTGAATAAAAAGCGAAACAAATCTATCGAAGACTTAATGGCAGTGAATGTCAACTAAATTCACATTAAATTTAAATTTGGGTCAAAAATGTAATGAAAATCAGTTTCAAAACACAAACAAACGTAACGTCAGTAACGCTTAAAAATGTCTGCTTCGGAGTAGAGGTGTTCGCAAACATATTGTTTAACCCATTGAACACCATATGGTTACCGCTCACACCTCTATATGAACGCAACAACTATTGACGATTTGGTTGTAAATATAATTGAATGTCTGAATAGAAAGTTGTGATCATTTGATGGACTGTTAGTGTGTTTGCAATGAGTGTAGAGTCGGGTCACTGTTCGGTGAGTTCGGGCGCCGACTCGGCTGTCATCGCGTCGATTGTGTCGCGCGTCAAAAGTGGGGGTATTTTCGATCAGTTCCGACGCGAATGCCTTTCGGACGCCGACACGAAGGTATGTCAAACACATCTCAATCTATCCATTGCTGCCATTGATGTGTTTGTCTGTTTAGCCATCGTTTCAGAATCTGTTGCAGAGAGTGGAGGGCTATGTCTCGAAGTTCTTGAGCCAACAGAAGTGGAGCCCAAATATCAATAAAAACCAATTGAGAGAAAGGCTTCGCAAACAAATCAATGAGTAATGAAATGATTTGTTGTCTCACTTTTGAAATGATTGTCTTATTTAATGGTAACTATAGGTCAGGAATGCTTAAGTATGGTATCGAGCATTTGGTGGAACAAGTGGTCAACTATAAAATCAATTCACTGTTTTGGCCGCAGATTGAAAACGTGGTCAAAGACTTCCTCGGCATTCAAGATATTCAAGTGATTCCTTCGCAACCTTTGCCTCAAATCACCAAAAGTTTGTCCAAAACTAATTCAAAGAGTAGTTTAAAAAGCGATGAGA